GGAGATTAGGATGGAGATCAAACCCACAACAAGTCAAGAAAAAAAGAAATAGATCTCGCAAAAACAAAAATTTCTAAATTAGGCAACAGTGAAGCCAGTTATTTAAAAGATGACTGAATACATGAAAAGATAGTTGAGGCGAAGTATTGGTCAATATTATCCTGAGGAGAGTGACAGACCTCTGCAATGCTGTAATTTTGGGATGTGAAAAGGGCCTTAAATTGTTGGATTGGAATTATCCATTTTGGACTTTTTTTTTTTTTTGACAAATATATCATGCTTATCCTGAGCTATATGGCAAGAGAGCTATGCTGGGGCATGCAGAAGATCTGGTTGTTACCCCATTGTGATGGTGGGAATTAATAATCTTGAAGAAATCCACTATTACAGATATTATATGGAATACAATTATAATGTCACTCGGGTGGTTGTTTTCCTTTTTTATATACATGAAGATATTATTATTGATGGGGGCAGATGATAACTGAGGATTTTGAACATTCTGTTGCAATCAGGATGCTATGTTACCCTAATATGGGCGATGGAGTTAACAATCCAGTGGAGAGACATCAAAGAAGATATTATATTATATGGATTATAAGTTTAAAGTCATTGATTTTATCTATAAAAGGGAATACTTTTTTTAATAGGGTGGGCAGAAGAATAAAGATATTAAGAATTGTTATGTATGGAAATTTTGTAGGAAAGTGGGTGGAGACAGGTTAGTTTATTGATTGTTTAGTTTAAGAAAAGGGATGCTTAAGAGATACATTTACGGGAGTGGAGGAAATGGATAGAGCTGAATAAATGTTAAATTAGGATTTATTATATAGCTTTTTAGGGGAAGGCTGCTTTGAAATGTTATATTAATATACATTAAAGATTAAATGGTAAAATAGTTTTTATTATATAGTTTTAAAGTGGAAGGTTGTTTTGAAATGTTATATTAATATATAGATATATGTATGGGGGAGGAGAAAAAGGGCAGATTTTTGCTAAATTGGGAGTTATAATAATGTTATTATGCTAAACCAGAAGTTATTACACAATGTTACAGTAGAATGTTATTTTGAAATGTATGGTAAAAGGGGGATGTAATAATATTATTAGAAAGAAAGGGTCAGTATTTGAGGAATGGAGTAAGGGGATGGTAAAATATTATATAATCTGTTACGAATTTGGATTTTATTTTGAAGAAGTCACAGGGGGATGGGTGGTGAGGGGGGGTTAGGGAGGAGGGGGGAGAAAAAAGGGGGGGAAATTTGTATTTGAAAAACTTTTTCAATAAAAAAAAAAAGAATTTTCTCTGACAGAGCTGCTATTCCCCACACTACCCCAATATATATAGCCCTTAGCACCATTTAGCCTTCTCTGCTGCAGCACCTGCCCTTTGTAACATCCTACCCTCTAGGGTAAGAGCTGCCCCCACCCTCTTGTCCTTCCACAGGAGTCTGAAGACTTGGCTCTGCCTCTTGGTCTGGAGACCAGATGGTGGGGGAGGGGGAATTTCACCCTGAAGGTGGCTGCTGGATTGATGGCATACCCCACCCTCACCTTGCTCTCTGCACTCCACAAGTCCATCTTTTTGTTATCATATTAATGTATTCTCATTGTTTTCTTTTTCATTATTTTTTTTTGTTCTATTATTTTATTTCTGTTTTGTTTAGGCTCTTTTCCTGTCTTCCTTTTTATTTTGAAAGCCTCCTAGAGTAGCCCGACAGCAAGATAGGCAGTATATATACATTTAATAAATAAATAAATTTGTAATGCAAATGTTTCAAGATGCGTGTTCTTTAGACATAGTCTTTTATTAACAATAGCCATTTTTAAATGTAACTAGCTTTTTAAAATTTCATTTCAGTCATTATTTGGTAAACACAAGTTTCACAAATAATGTGAATGTGATGGGAATGCTGCCTGATAGACAAAAGAGATTCTCAGTAGATTTGGTTCAGTGTTGTTGCACCCTTTTATGTCTCTTACTCTGACAGGTTTCTGTCACATTTAGATTCCTAATACAGAGACACATTCCTAATTCAGAGGCACCCCTGCTTTCAAACTGTAATCGCTATACACTTCCCATGGTAAGGTACAGCCCCATATGCAGTTCATTATCCAGTACATGCTCTATATTTCAATGATATTCTTACCCAGAGGAATATATATATATATAATACCATTAAAAAGAGGCTTATTCCTTAAGGTTGTAGCCACGAAATAGTGTCAAGTTGCTAGTTTTCTGTCTAGATATAGAACTAACCCAGAGATTGTTATCTGAAACACATTTATGAACATGTCCAAAGTAAGGCTTGGGGAAGTTATCCAAACCCTCATTTTAAGGGAAAAATGCTTTGACAGAATATAGAAGTTAAGCACTACCTTCCATCCTCTCTGTGCTCCACCAGACAAACAAACTGTACTTGGAATGATCAGTTTGAGTTAAGGGCAAATAGCAGGGAATAAACTAGATAAGCCGCTTCTCACATATTCACAAAATATCTTCTCACAGCAGAGGAAAAAACAAGTGAAAATGAGCTGATGAGTTGGCAGGAAAGGAGAAAGTTGCAATTTTGTAGGGGAAGAAGGTGGTTAGGGAACCAAAATAGACCTAGACCCATGATGGCGAACCTATGGCACACGTGCCACAGGTGGCACATGGAGCCATATCGGTGAGCACCCCAGCTGATTTTTGGCCCCACCAGAAGTTGGGAATCAGGTAGTTTCCGGTCTCCAGAGGGCCTCCAGGAGAGTGAGGAAGGCCGTTTTCGCCCTCCTCAGGCTCCTAGAGAGCCTCTGAAACCTGGGGAGGCCGAAAAATGGGCCTACCGTGTCATCACATGCCAAAACTGGGGGGAACGCAGAGGGGGTTGCATGTGCATGCATGAGGGGGGCAGGGCGCATTGAATTATGGGTGTGGGCACACGCATGCGTGAACCCCCTGCACTCCCCCCGCTTTTGGCACGTGATGGCAAAAAGGTTAGCCATCACTGACCTAGACAGTGGGGATCTTGAAGATCTGCTGGTCTCGGGATAAATAAAGACCACAGAAGGGTTTTAGGGGGAATAGAAAATAACTGAGGATGGGGAAGGACCAGAACATAAAAGATCATTAACATGCCAGGGAGAGAAGAAGAAAATTCAAAGAAGGAAAATCAGCATCCTATTAATCACCAATTACCTGCTAAGCATAATCAATACTGTTGATTAACTATAAGGAAGGAGTTTAGAACACATAGTTCCCAGGTTATGATGGAAATTGGGACTGGACTTTCCCTTGCTAAGCGATGTGGCTGTAAAGGGTGAAATCATATGATTGCATCACTTAGCAATGGCAATCCTGGTTGTCCCCATTACCATTGCTAAGCAAGGACTACAGACCATTAAGCAAGGATCTCCCTGCAACTTCCTGCTGACTTCCAACAGGCAATGGCAAAACTGACAGGAAGTTGCACATCTCAGGCAGCTCACAATCAGGCTGGTAGGGAGGTAAATGGCTGCTGCCAAGTGGGAGAGGGCTATGAGTGGCTGGTGCAGTGTGAGTGGCTGTTGTGTGCAAGAGGGTGTGCAGGTGGACATAATTTTGAACATTTATTGAACAAGTGGTCATTAAAGAAGGACTACCCATAGCTAATATAGAAAACAATAGAATAGACTAGGCACAAAGACACTTGAAAAAACTGTAATTTGTCAGGTATGGAAATAACTATCCAAGAAATATTAGAGGAAGTAGCAATAAATCATTGTTTTTAATATATATGAGAGTCTTTAAGGCAGAAGCTAAAAAGGGGAGGAATGTTTGTGAATGTTTGAGCTAAAATATACCTATGCTGCCTTGTACGATCCAAAGAGAATCTAATTTTTTTACCTTCCAAAAATTTATGAATAAAGCAGGAGTAGAAAAAAGTTCACATGAAAGTTTTACATGTTGACATTTGTCTGGTTGGCTCCTAAGACCCTATTTTTCTCCTCTTTCGGGTCTCCTGACACTTTTTAAAATGATTTTTTTCCCTACCTCCACAAGGAAAGGTAATAAGCACCTACTAGGAATATACTGGAACGTTTTGCTCTGAATCTTCACAATTCTGGGAGTGGAAGGCCACTAAGGTTGAGAAAGACTAGGTTAAACAGAATATCAGGCTATTACTGTGGACAAAGAAAAAGAAAAACGTGTCTTAAATATGTTTCCTTTCCAGCCAAATTACACATGGGAGTCCAGCATCTTAAGCTTGCAGTAGGAAAAGCCATTGTTTAGAGGTGGAGAGCGGAATGCATTCTAAGCACATTCTCCCCTTCTCAGCAATATGGAAAACTGCTGCACCACAGGCCCAAAGGCCAAGCTTCTGGTTACCCATAAAGGAAAAAATAAATAAAAAAGCAAACAGAAAAACAAAATAAATCTGTTTTCAAATACTGTAGCAGCTGAGACTTGCTACTGCAAACTGAAGGGGGTGGGAGGAATAAACAATTAAGTCTGATTTCTTTTTTGTTCTTCATCCCCTGCCCTCATCATATTCATGAGTCACCAGCATTTTTAAGTCCTCTGGAGCTGCTTGTTTTTCCAATGCTTCAGCAGCACCTAAAATCTGAAGTGCATTTCACACATTGCCCAGTCAGCCTACTGGAGGACACTGTCCGAAATCGGTGCGCTCTAATTTTGGGGACAAAAGGTACAGTATTTCACTTGGAAGGCATAATAAGCAAGTAAGCAGCCATTAAAAAGAAAGCATCAAACTGTTTTTTGGCAGCTAGAAAGTCAGGCCATTCCACAGTGAGCTTTTGAAGAAACAAAGTGACAGTTCCTTTTGTGGGCTTTTCCTCTGTTCAAAAGAACTCTTTCAAAGAACGACCGAAAGAACTCTGAATGAAAATGCACCTTTGCAAAATATTACCACTATTTGTCATACCATTTTCAAACAGAGTTGTATTTATGAAACACAGCTCTTCTTTGATTAATTCCATAAATGAGAAATAAACTTTTTTTTTAAATTCCATTGTGACAGGAATGACTGCAAGAAAGCCCTTTGTGTAGCAGATTAGATAATGGCTGCAAATAAAGTGGCAATGTAGGCATCACTAAGAAAGGGAAATATGTCATCAGCCAGCAGCAGACAAAAGTACAAAACAAAAACACAGGTAAATTAATTTATAAAAGGTAGGTGCTAATTTTAAAATAATTATGATCATTATATAAAATGTAAGTACACTTCAGGTGATTGCATGTTCATTAGCTTGTTGCCTAGGTGCTATCAATTCCATGTTCCCTGCTCTTTCTGTTTATGATTTATTATCTTTAAACTGGACATGGGAGCCTTACAAAACTGTAAGTACATTGAACAACCACCCTACTGTAATTTAACCCCTATTTACTAGGGAGAAAAGAGAAAACATTGTGATTAGCCATGCTACTGGATAAATGTTCAGGAGTAGAGAGCAACAGTGATCTGTAAATGAATTTGCATCTTAATGCTTAAACTGTATTCCCATCACACCTTTTTGTGTCCATCCCACAGATCATCTAACCAATCTTTATGGTTTGTTACATTATCCATTTTGAATGTCCAGACACCAGGTTTTGTAACCTCAACAAGTCTTAGGGACAAGTCATAGTTTCCAGAAATTCAAAATGGCATGACCAACCCGGCAACACCCCCCTTCAATCAGATGCCGTATCTTCAAGTTATTGGATGTCCACAAGGTGGCAAAGACAGCAAAGTTATCAGGGTGGCAATTGACGCTCTGCCCCATTTTATATGTGCAGTGCACGGGCAGTGCACACATAAAAAAAACAGCCAGAGTTTCAATTGCATCATTGCGTCAACTCACATCTTGACTTTTTAAGTTACACTTTGCAGACTCCATTTGTGTATCTGCAGTGCACAACACACAATAGCTGGGTCTTTTATGAGCTAACTATTTTTACAATACTTTCAGTTGGTAAGAAATCATTTTGTCATTTCCTAATTTAACATTATTTTAAATAGAGGAAAGTTAAAGAAAAACCTTGTGGTATAATCAGGGTCAGTGCCAATCTTGCCAATTTGGAGTGGGGGGATTACCTACCTGGACCTGTGTCTTTCCATTTTTCCTGACACATATCCTGTTAAAATTCAGTTTGCACTATTTACAGGGGGAAGAAGAGGGGGGGGTGGCATGGTGATGCACACTTGTTAACTGAGCTTTTAAACATAGGTAGGTTTTTTTTTATCACATCTTTATTTTCTGCCATTTAAGGAGGCATACATGAAGCCCTCTCTCCTGTTTTCCCCACAACAGTTCTATAAAAGAGTGACTGGACCAAAGTCAATCAGCTGATTTTCATGCCTCAGGGAAGACTAGAACTTACAGTGTCCAGTTTTTAATCCTGCACCTTTACACTAGTTGTGCTATGTTATACTGCATGAACACAGCTTTGTTTTCTTTGTTTTCACTCAGTTTGAAAACAGACCTTGTGGTGATAATACAAGAACAGAAAGAAAATTCAGATTTCTTATTTCAAAGAAATATTTCATTCACTGAGGAATAACAAGGTTAGGTGACATGTAAGAAAATGAAGTGCGTGAGTAGCAACTTGAAATTTAACAGATTTTCAAAAGAAGGAAAAAATAGAATTTCATCCATGCTTCCTGACTGAAAAGGAAGGATTATATTGATAGCATTTAAATGTTCCCCAGATTGGGTATGGCTCATCAGAACATGTTTTTTGGCAAGAAATTGTTTCTGGATGTATGGTACCATATGTTGAAATACCACCTTAGTCTTTAAGGACATAAATGAAAAATTCAATGACTGGAACATGTGGAGTTTTTTTTTTACTGTGAAATTTGTCCTTTTTGGTGTTGTAAGGCTTGGTTGATTCCTTTTCCTACTTCAGGATGGCAGAATTTGATTTATGAAGTCTTCTACAAAGGAAAAGCCATTTCCTTTCATTTGTATACTGGCCATCTCAACATGTGACTCTTGATGGAAAACAGTATTAAAGAATTATTTCATTCAATAATTCTGCATTATGAAAATGTACTCAAATTCTTATATATATAGAACATAGAACTTTTAATGAAAAATATTTCCTCCCTTGTAAAAAAAATCCCATAAAAATAAGGGTTGGGACGGGGTGAAATGCTCCCAGTTCGGACCGGATCGCCTGATCCGGTAGCGATGGAGGCAGGTGGTCGGAGAACCGGTAGCAAAAATCCCTAACCCCCCCCCCATGCCCAGCTGAGCAGCACAATCATCAGAGGCTTTTTTTTAATTATTATTTTTAAAAGCATTTTTTCTACAACCTCTTCAACCTCAGCCAAAAAATGCTTTTAAAAATTAAAAAAAAAAGCCTCTGATGATCACATGGCTCAGCTGGGATCTTCAAAGGCTTTTAAAAGAAAAAAAACCCTTTTTTTCTTTTAAATGCCTCTGATGATCCAAGCTGAGTTCCCTGATCGGCAGAGGTTTTTAAAAAAGCCTCTGCCGATCAGGCAACTCAGCTGGGATCGTCAGAGCCTTTTGAAAGCATTTTTTACAACCTCTTCGCCGAAGAGGTTGTAGAAAAAAATGGTTTTAAAAGTTAAAAAAAAATTGGCCATGCCCACCAAATCACATTACCCACCACTACCAAGCTATGCTCACAGAACCAGTAGTAACAAATTTTAGATTTCACCACTGGGTTGGGACTATTCCATATGGTTTCCCTAAGAACATTACTTCCTTATTTCTATTGGAAACATTACTTTCCATATTTGGAGGAAGGTGACAAAGCCAAACAGAGGGAGGAACCAGTTTTGAAACCACCTCATTCTAGCCCATATTTCTGTAATTCTTATTTATTTATTATTTATTTATTAATTTTATTTCTATACCGCCCTTCTCCCGAAGGACTCAGGGCGGTGTACAGCCTAATTAAAAACACAAAGACAGACAAAATTTAAAAATAATTAAAATTATTAAATAATAGGCCCAATGTATAAAACCTCAAATTTAAAATCCCATTTAAAACCAATTAAAATCTTTACATTGATAGCCCAGCCTGGCAGAACAACATGGTTTTGAGGGCACAGCGAAACACACAGAGATCAGATATTTTACGAATTTCTGGGGGCAGATCATTCCAAAGGACAGGGGCTCCCACAGAGAAGGCCCTTCCCCTGGGTGTTGCCAGCCGACATAATTTGGCCGATGGCACCCTGAGGAGACCTTCTCTGTGGGAGCGAACTGGCCAGTGGGAGGCTACTGGTGGCAGAAGACAGTCTCAAAGGTATCCAGGTCCAATGCCATGGAGCGCTTTAAAGGTGGTAACCAACACCTTGAATCGCACCCGGAAAACCACTGGGAGCCAGTGCAGCTCGCGCAGGAGGGGTGTCACGTGGGCACAATGAGTTGCGCCCATAACCACCCGCGTGGCCGCATTCTGGACCAGTTGGAGCCTCCGGGTGCTTTTCAAGGGGAGCCCCAAATTCTTACCTGCACCATTAATTATTTCTGTCTTCCCTTATATTCTTCCTGCAGGTGTGTTGGATGGATGGAAAAGAAGCATGAAAGTGATGAATGACTCCAGAATGGCAGAAAAGCATTGGGCCTCAGGAAAGTTATGGGTAATCTTTGATTTATGATCATTCATTTAGCAATTGAAATCATGATGGTACTGAAAAAAGTGACTTATGATTGAACCTTGTACTTATGACCATCACAGAGTTCCTGTAGTCACAGGATCAGAATCTGGGCACTTGGCAAGCGGCATGTGTTTACAATGGTTGCAGAGTCCTAGGGTCACATGATTACCATTTGCATCTTTTGCAGCTGGCTTCTGACAAGCAAACTCAATGGGGGAAACTGAATTTGTTTAACAAGTGCACCAAAAAAAGGTTGTAAAATTAACATGATACAATACTTAAACATATAATTTAGCAGTGGAAGTTCCCAGTCCCAGTTGTGGTATAAATTGAGGACTATCTGGATTACCTTTGCCCCAGGCCCATTTGAGGGAATTCATAGATAGCATCCATATTATAAAGCCTCTTCCCTCCAAATATCTGAGGTATCATCTGTTAAACCTGATTGGATGAGGTTTTGTATTGATATTGGATGCTTTCCTAATTATTTCTACTGTATTTTATTTTTTTCTTTGTTTTCTATTTGACACTGTGAATGGCTTTGAAATTGGGCAGTGTCTATATCTAAATAAATAAATAGCTCCTCACAGATGTGTAAATGTCCATTCCTCACATTCTTGAATTGGCAAAAAAGAATGTCAACACAATTTGCATTCTCTCTATAGCCAAGTTTTACTGTGCCTCAACAAAACAAATATTTAACATGGGTTGATTTCAAAGCAGTAGCTAGTAGAGTTGTATTTTTGTTGCTGATAAACACGTGTTGCAAGCAATTTTCCTAATACTCATTTTTCTTCATATTTACATAATTAAGTATGAAGTACGCATCTATGAATTTTATGTTCTATATCAGTACGTATCAAAAGTTTTGCTCTGTTTAAAAGTGGTTCCAAAAATAAAAATTAGATAATTTCTTATGCAAATAAAACACAATTCTCTCTCCCTCCAGTGTTATTTCCTGCTGTTGCATAGAATTTGCTACTAAACTGTTTATTCAATTTAACAGCAAACAATTACCATACAAACTTGAATTCATCTCTAATTTCTTGAATTCTGGATTTCTAATGTAAATTCTTCCACAGATGAAAATATGCCACATTATATCATTATATGTAGCACTTTGATGGTACAAGTATTCCATCTATAGGTTTTTCACTGTTCCTTTCTTGTCCTAAAAACAATGGATGCATATTATTCCTATTTCATTAGCTGAGCCTAAAATAGGAAAAGCTTGAGGCAATTCACTTGGATAGTATTATTACTGGCAAAATATTGAAATGGCTCCTGGATAGATAACACTTTCTCTTTGCCTAATCTCTTTTTATTTTGTTTTGTGCCTTTTATAATTTTAAAGTTTTTAATTTTAACAATATTAATTTGTATATTTTCTTTTTAACTGTGTATGCCACCCAGAATCACTTGATTGTGAGATATGCAGCTATGTAAATATGATAAATGAATGAATGAATGCTCCTAGTAATCTATTTCATGACATGGAATTTCCTCCCCCCAAAATTGGTAAATTTCTCTGTAGCATCTGCTGCACCTATTGCTATTTTTTCCCTAGAAATGTTGCAATGATGCTTGTTTTAGGTTAAGTTTTAATTAAATTGGCTGGGATAAAATTCCAATTCGATCTCTGCCAACACAAACATCCAGGCTTCTGGCTGGTGGCAGCTAAAGCCTATTTTCAATGCCATCATCATATTTACCAGAGTAGATTCTCCTAGAGTTTATTTAGTTTGAAAATGGCAGAATCTATTACAGATTCAAACACAACACAAACACAGAATTAATTAAAAATGCTACATGGTATAAATTTCATTGGGATGTAATCATTGGTATGGATTGGGAAATATTTATCTGATCTAGATGGATTGGATCAGGTCTACAAAATGCAGGTTCTCTATCTCTGCCTTACATGTTTTGTTTGTGTTAAGCTTGGATTCTTAACATTGTGGCCATGGCCACAAAATGCACCACCAATTAATAAAATAATGGATAATAATGCACTGTAAATTTAGTACTTTATGAAGTACCGGTATGTGTTTATGCACAGAAAAAGAGATAAATGGAAGAAATATCTTATAGAGGTTGACAATGAGCAACCCAATATTTTTGAGTAAAAAAAATACTATTTTGTAACTGACTACATCCATCTCAACAGTTACATCACAACATGAGGCAATGCTCTCCAAATGCCAAGCCTGCCTCCTAGCCCACAACACTTGGTGTACCTTGAACTAAGTGCTACCATTTATTTAGAGAGTTATCTTTTAAGTCATGTTTTCAGTCTTAATTTGACATACAAACTAAAAACAGAACGTTTTTATTGAATGATTTGTCTACTTGAATCTGAGACACCAAGGATCTGATTATCCAAAATTTCCCAAGTCCTCCTAAACTCACAGCCCCTGCTCAAAGAGCAGGTGGCCGCCACAGCTAGGGAAACTTTTATGAAGATTCATCTTGTGTGTCAATTGCACCATTTGCTGTACTGAGAGGCCTTGCTCATAGTCACTCACATCCTGATGACACCATGTGGCTGTCTACATAGGGCTACCCTTGAAGACCATCCAGAAATTACAAACTGTCTAGTGTGCAGCAGCACATGCAGTTTTGGGTGCATCACGGTTTAGCCATGTTACACCATTGCTGTGAGAGCTGCATTGACTTTGTTTCTTTTTGGGTGTGGTTCAAAGTGCTGGTTATCAACTTTAAAACTTTTTTTTGGTAGCAGAGCAGGCTGTTTGCAGGGCTACCTCTCCCTGAGGGCATCTGCCAATTCCACTAGGACTGATAGGTTGGGCACACACTCTCTTCTCTTAAAAGTTGCCATCCAGTGGGATCTAGGTAGCACACCTCTTGGTAGCTGCCCCCATCCTTTGGAACACCTTCCCCTGTGAGTTCCATAGCCTCCTACAGGCCTGGCTTTCCTGAAGCTGTAAAGATCTGGCTTTTCTCACAAACCTTGGAAAATTTCTTTTTAATGTGTGGGAAGG